TGTGTCTTCTTGATATTGAGCCTCAATCCATATTGGAGGCTGGAGTCCCTGACCCTCTGCAGCAAGCACTTCAGGTCCTCTATTTCCCCAGTTATTGATACTGTATCAATCCATCTTAGCCTGGGTGTTCCTCTCCTGCACCATCCCTTCACCCTTCTAATTATGATGCCTTTCTCCAAAGACTGGTCCCTCCTAGCCAAGTGCCCAAAGTATGTGAGACAGAGATTCAAAATCCTTGCCTACAAGGAGCAGCTTGGTTTCATCCTCTCCAAGACAGACCTTTTTTTTTCTCAGTCCATGGAATGTTCAGTACTTCTCCAGAACCACAACCCAAAGGTATCAATTCTTCCCACGTCAACTTTAATCACTATCCAGTTCTCTGAAGCATAGCAAGTAATTATGAAGAACATGGCCTGGATTAGGCACATCATAGTCTCTAGACTGACATCATAGCTTTTTATCATTCTGCAGAGGTCTCTGACAGGATGTTTCCATAACGCAATTCGTCTTTTGATTTCCTGACTGCTAGTGCCAAGACAATTGATTCTGGAGCCAAAGAAGCTGAAATTGTTAACAACCTCTCTCTTCTCTGTCTATCACAGAGCTGTCAATTGGTCCAGTGTTAAGAATCTTTGTTTCCTTTTTTTTTTGGGGGGGGGGGAAGTGCAGTGTTCTTCGTATTTCTTTTATTAGCTCCTAATCATTACACTACCACGAACACTAATGAAAATGACTCAGCAATATGAAGCAGTGGAGGAGTGACCACTGAGAAGGGAAGCAGGTGGGGTGGGAGTAATCATTTCTGCCGGATTCAAACTCATGGCTTTCAGAATCAGAAAGGCAGAATCATCATTGGCTCCAACAAGATGTAGCAATAAGCTCAGGAGTCTTTTAAAGTGCCACCTACTTATGTTCATGAAGCTCATAAATATTAATTTAGGAAGGTATTAATACCTAAAGGTAGGCTTAAAGCAGTGCCTAAACTAGGCCACCACCATGTGTCTTTTAAGCATAAACAGTACTAGAAACTGAAGAATAATCAGATGCAAAATTTATCATTTCTTCCTCATGAGTTCAGCAGACAACTGAATTTCCCCTAAGGGAGCTAACAGAGGTAGAGTGATGGTTACTGTTCTGAGTATTTGACATTGATGTCAAGGACTGAGCTACTACATTCTATGAGCTGGAGACAGCAAGGCCTCTTCTGATGACTTGTGGTCCTTAAGAACTCACTGTATCTCCAACAGGGTAAAAAGGGAAGACACCAACAGGGAAAAATTATTTGGTAATAATTACATGGCAGATAAGGGACTAATATCTAGAATTTATAAAATACCTGAGCAACACAACAAGATAAGGTAAATAATCCAATTGAAAAATGGGCACAGGATATGAACAAACACTTCACC